TTGCTGTGCCCTTGTTTTTTTGTTTTTAAAAAATGTGCCACGATGAAAATAAATCAATATTTGTCCTGTGCAGTCACTTGTGGAAAAAAAAGAAAAAAAAGTTATGTAAGCCTCATGTGGGGTTCGCCACCGTGGTAAGTCAGTGAACCTGCACGCATGCATCACAGCTTAGTCACAAGAAACGACATCGTGTGAGCACTGGTTTTTGGGGTCACCAAAGTTCATTCAAAGTCTGAACACCGCGAAGTATGGGACTCCAGAAAGGGGGGAATTATTGATTTTTTAATTTTAAAGATACACTCGAGGGAGGGCGGGGGTTATGGAGAAATACAGTTAGACTTGTCTGAAATCTCATCAAAGCTTCAGTCAGACACTGCTCAACTTGATAATTTTGTGTCCATTTTGTCATGGCTATTGCAAACACACTCACAGCAATGATAACTAAACCTAAGCAGTGTCTGAAAAAAGCTCTGGATGAAAAAGAAGACTGCAGATGTGAGAGATGTGGCAAGAGATGGGACTCACAAATAAAGTCCTGATAAAACAGCACTATTCTCTGAAATCATCTTCTCTGGTGAAACTTTTTAAAATCACTTGTTTTTTCCCATAAAAGGACAAAAAGTAAGCCAGTCTTTTTCTATATTGTGTGTGCCAACATATTTTCAATATTCTGATTTAGTCATAAGTCATAATATGACATGTTGATTGATAAGTTCTTTTTTATATAACATACATGTACTTTAAAACATGTATTTTCAAAACTTGTTTTCACTTATCATAGTCAGAACCTAATGTCACTGTTTAACTGCTTGACAGCAGTTTTTAGTTATTAATTAATTTGTTTTCATACAAGTTCATAAGTTGTTTTCACTCCTCATTTTTTCTTTTTAAATACAAGTTCAAAATTTGTTTTTATTTACCATGATTTGCTTTTATTTTATCACTACACTGCCTGTAAACCACTCTGTTTGAATCTAAAATGATCGATGGCTTACCTAATTGGTCATATTATTGACTGTTTTCTATGGTGCCCTATTTTGTCAACAGTCATAATTAATTCATATTAATCCAATCAAGAAGAGCTAGTCATAGAGGCATTTAAAAGTCAGATGCAATCGTGATCATTATTTGATTTAAAACTGTGATTTTAGTGATTTTGTTTTGGTGTGATCTTACTGTGATTGACAAGTTAGTTTTCATTCATGATTTTAAAAATGTTCCGATAACTCTATGCTTTTATAGAGAGCGTCAATAAATTTATTGTTATTTATATGAACGTTGTGATGCACGATCCAGCATTACCAACTTTAATCAACAAAATGATCACCTATAATTTTTGCCTTGGTGCCCTAGCAAATTGCCTCGGTGCCCTCTGATTTTTAGGTCCCACCGAGGCAATTTTTGCAAGCCCTCCTGAACACATAATTCAAGCCCTGAACTCATGAAGTATAAAAAACTGCAACAAAAAGTTATAAAACTCACCTCTTGTTGTTGTGATTCGTTGATGAACTCTTGACCTTTGCTGTGCAGCATGAAGTAACAGACTGGAGAGGCACAGGCATGTTGGGTCAGGGGGTCAGCACCAGGTACCCAGTCAAAGAGTTCAACACCACAGGAGAAACAACGGACCATGTCATTGTGACCTGAGGGAAATTTAAGATTCATTTCAGTCAGTGAAATTTGGGCTGAATATGCAGATCAAAGTTAAGAATTATTTTACCTAAAGCATCATAAAAAGATCAAATGCTTCATTGGAGCACTTCATAAATTTTATATTTTTTTGTTACAATACACAAACTAGAACTCTTCCCAGCATTTTAAGAAAAGTAGGTTGAGTATTTATTATAAACAATAAATGAACATATAACATTAAACCAATATGAAAATTATCTAAAGTTTATTTTAATTGCCCTTTGATTCTAATTATTTTGACTTACTGAGCAAAAACAATGATACAATCAAACTATAGAAAGAAAAAAAAAGAGTTACACCATGAACCAGTTTTACTACAACATATATATGATAAAACTGAAGACTTGTACTTGTAACAATAAATTTGAAATCAAAACACTGAAAGGCCCACCTGTATAGTAGAAACCTGCTTCTGCCATGGTATTTGGTGGAAAAACACTTTTAAGGAGCTTTGGCCACAAGCTGAAGGTACCGGACCTGTCCGCAGAATCCTCAAATTCAGGATACTTGATACGGTACTTGTTTGAATCATTAGATTGACTTACGTCCATAAAATATTTTGAACGTTCCTTCTCATGAATACTTCTTTGTTCTTCACTTGAAATATTTCCCACATCAAAGTGACACACAAAAGGACACTCAGGTGACTTTTCCTTGTGCTCACCTACAATGTCAACACACACGTCAAACTCCAACTGGAGTCCACAGAAAACACACTGGGCTCGGAGGTTAGAGATCATGATGAAGCCGTCTCTTGACCATTTTGCTGCCTCAGCTGAGCTTGGTGAATTGTAAGTAGTCAGTCGAAGGCTTTCAAACAACATGGGATACCCACCAGTTAGAGGTTTGAATGGGTGTACAATAGCTTGACGTCTTCCGTATTTGGCCCCACTGTGATTATTGTTTGTTGATCTTTTGGAGAACAATTTCCTTTTCAAGGTCTCTGCATTGTTTGTATCACATGAACTGCAAATAGAAAATATTGTTTGTGGTTCCTGTGCACCTTCGTCTATGATTGTGTCATCAATCTCAGATACCACTGACAAGTTCGTGCTACATCCAACAAAATGAGTTGGGATACTGGGTGGTGTGTTCAGAAACGGACAGTTTGGACTTCTGGTTCTGTGGACTGCAAGTGGGGATTCCCCTGCCCACCCACTGTGTTTAACACTGCAAGAGCGACAAACTAACTCATCTGATGCGTACGAAACATTGTCGGCACGTTCCCAGCCAGCTTCAGCGAATTTAACTGGAGTGTTGGAAAGTGAACTCACAAAGTTTTGCGGCAGTGGAGAATGAAAGGTGCGGAGTCTTTCCATGAAAGATGTCGATGCCATATTGCTTTAGAATCTAGCTGTAACACGTTAAAAGAACTCGTTTTCCATTCATCAAGAATAAATCCAGACTTCACCTGAATTTAGCAGAATATTTTTGTTATAATTGAGGGTTTCAGTCGGTTGTTTATAATTTCCAGAGTGATGGCAGGAACTCCGGAAATACAGACGCTTTCGCGCGACTTATTTCCCTTGTTACTAAAATTAACCAAGGCATTTCCCGTTTTGGTGGAAACAGCTGATGGCCCGTGGTGCCGTGGTGGGTGGTTGGTGATCATAAGTTTGGAGGTGGGAAACAGTTGTTTAAGTGCCTTTAGTTTTGAACTTTCTTTTATCGGTTCTCCTACTTAAAATGCAGAGCTATTTCCTTTTCACTTTCTCAGTTATCTCACCATTTCACTCGCATCGATTGTCGTTTCTTTCAATGTATAATAACCAAGTTGGAATTACCAAGTTATGTGCAGTTAGTCTTTCTTTTATTCTGTGCTTTCCAGCCATCTGCTCTTTCTCTTTGTGGTTAAAAGCCACTTCTGGACCTTCCCAACAGGCTCACCTCATTCTTAAATTTTGTACACCCCTTCAAACATCCCCTGTCCCTCTCCTCTTGTCTGTCTGACTGTCTGTCTGCATGTCTGTCGACTGTCTGTCTGTCTGTCTGTCTGTCTGTCTGTCTGTCTGTCTGTCTGTCTGTCTG